GAAGCTCAAAGCTTCACTTTGGCATTACTATGCGAGACATAAATCAGATACTTCTGGGGCATTGCTGTACGTTTCTCTCTACCTGGGAGGCACCCAGAGCAATAGTTCTGCACAAATAAAGGTTAATTACTGAAAGAACTGTGTTGTGATCTCTGGGGCAGGGTGTCCTCACAGAACGGCTCTGTGAGAATCTCTTAGATGAGGAGAACAACTGAGGGAAAGAAAAAATTGGCTGGTATTTTTGAAGGAGAACCCAAAACCCAAATAGTCCCTTCCCTTTTTCATCTCTATCCGTTGTCACTCAGGGAATTTAAGAAATGTAATCCGTGACATTTCATGTTTAACCGTGCAGCCACTGAAAGCAGAATGGGCTGATGGAGGTAGAAATGCTGTGCGAGGTGGTATAGCTGGGACCGATCCAACCAGCTATTTTATTATTTTATTATTATTTTACCCCAAACAGCAGGGCATAGGGCAAACCTCAGAGATCCTATCACCTCATGGTTCTATGATCTCAGACACAGTCTGGTTTGCTGAAATTCCACATCAATTGGAATTTAGAAGGAACTGACAGACCTCAGTCCCACAAAGAGACTCTCCAGAGGTGCCTAATACTGTGTCTAAATTGAGCCGCCTTCTGTTTTGGCTGCAGACCAGAGAGGCTCTCGTACAGCACAGCTCAGCACCTACCCACCAAGCTCTCTTACAGCTTTGGTCGGGGAGGATCCTCATGCTTCTCCCAAGTGTGCTGAGCAGCCCGGTGTATGTTCCATTGCTCAGAGTGCCTTGAAATCAGCTCAGAAACAACTGTCAGGTCCATTTTGTTCCAAAACCCATCTAATGGAGCAAAAGGTAGAGTCACCTGAGCAGACTATAACCATCCTTCTCCCACCTTCTCTGTAGAAACCACTAGGCACCTAATTGCAGGTTTCAGATTCATCTCTGAGGCCCGGCACTTGAATACTGGGCTTTGTTGTTCTGTCCTGGGGACATCTGTGTCCCTGCAATCTGTTGTGGGTGCCATTCCGCTTGCCTTTGCATAACACTTGCAAACTTGAGGACTAGCAGAAAGCTGAGAGAGCTGAGAGAAGCAGAGTCTGGAGTTACCCAAGGGCAGGATGGAGGATGTTGATGCAGGAACAGCCCCAGCATGACAGTTATGTCTGTGGTGGGAGCAGGCTCCTGAGGCTCAGGGCTTACACTCACATCTATGTCAAGGATGGGAGCAGCCTGCTGCATCCCCATCACTTGTGGAAAGGTAAAAATCCCGGTGGTTTGGTGAGAAGACTCAGGAGGAATGAACTACAGCAGAGATTGTGTGAACATTTAGAGGAGGACAACCATTACAGTTAGAGCAGCTGGGATCAGTTTCCCAACCAGTCAGTTCATGATCTGACCTGAACATCTGCTCAAGAAGTGCCAATAGCTGAGCTGAAGGTCTGGCCAGAGTCCATGGGGAGCAAATAGCTCACCTTCACCGTAGGAGAGATGTATTTAAGGCCTCCAAGGCTGGTTCCAGCATCAGCCCAGGCAAGAGTGATGTGGACAAAAAGCCTCGCTCGGTCACTGAGAGAGAAGGAGTCTCAAGCATTGCCTGCATGGAGGAGCTTCAGCACACAAACCCTTGGAAAGCGAACAGGGAGGATGTAGAAGTCTAAATACCATGTTTGAAACCTTTTCTTCTGGGCTACGGAGGTCAGGTGCCATTGCAGGAGGATTTTCTCTGGGTTTGTTGTGCTTAGAGGGGTCAGAACAATAATTAACATTTACTGCACGTGAGTCTTTCAAGAAGATGGCAGCAGTTCCCTTGTTCCCACCACGTTTCCCATCGCTGCACCTTCTCTCTGTGGCTATGCTGCACAATCGACCTGCCCGCTCGTTGTCCGAGACACGGACGACAACATTCTAGAGCAACTGGGACAAAGGAGAGGTTCTAGAGTCCGTGTCACAGTGGACAACCTGCCCCGGGAGGGAACAGAATGCTTCCCGCAGATGTTCCGCTGGGAGGGGACATTTCAACTGCTGTTTGGTCCCTGCTGTCAGCCATGTGCACTGTAGGCACGGGCTGTTTGCAAACCCCTGCTTTGGTGAGCGTTGGTGTGTGCATCGTCCCTGGCCAGTGCTGGCACTGCTAACCCCACATGCGGGTTCCTGCCGTCCCTGCTGAGGACAGGGTGGCTGGGAGAGTTCTGCTGACTGCAGAGACCACCCAGTGCGATGGAGAGGAGGCTGCTGGGAGCTGCCGTTCTCCTCTGCCTGTTGGATGTTCTCCATGCTTATGCAATTGAAGAGAAAGGAGATGTGTTCAAGAGAATGGCTTGTCCCGCTTTCCTGATGTTTGACAACGCCGCTTACTTGGCTGACATGACCTTTGAGCTCCCTTGCAATTGCAAACCCGAAGAGATCTCTTCTGTTGTCTGGTACTTCCAGAAGAAGATGGGCAGCCAGAAAACCACAGTCCTGACAGACTTTGCAGGTACTGTGGTTGTTGACTCGGGCCATATCCATGCCGGCAGCG